GGCAACATATGTACAATTGATGTATGGACTGTTAAAAGAGCTGTAAGAGCCCCCAATAAAATGATTTATAAAAAAACAAAAACAAAAGCTTATATCAAAACAAGCAACCATCTAAGTGAAGAGTCAATTATGTTAAAATGGGAGAAACACTCCAGCCTATGTGGTACAAGGATTATAAATAATAAGACTCAGAAGCAGGAATGGTTCCAGTGTCTAAATGCCAAACACCTGTTTTTGGGAAAGCTATGGATGATAGTGGTATCTCAAAATCCATTTACAGGGTCCCAATGTGGATTGAGTCTCCAGTGAATCCCCAAAGCCCATAGCCTACGCAATTGAGAGCCCTAATATCAGAAAAGGAGCATTGTAAAGTGGACTTTGTGTTGTTGTGCTTAGGCTGGAATATAATGCCTTGTCATTTGAGCTCCCTCTGGACCCTATGTGAATTTATTCTAAATTTTTAATATTCTCTGATTTTTCTTGGATTATGGTCTTTCTCTGTTTTATATGGTCATTGTTGCTTGGTCCTGTATGTCGTTTGCCCTTGTTTTGTGTGTTTGTCTGCACAGGGGAACCAGGATCGGTGGATTTATGAAGAAAGTAGCTGGATTGATGATTGCCTGGGACATGGGAGGGGAAGGTGTGGGCCATGGCAAGTCAACATCAATGGGTACAAGAAGGAAGAAAAGTTTCTAAAGTTGAGTGCAGTGATGCATGCACAACCCTTCTTGACTTGATTGAACCATTGAATTGTCTGATGCTAATTGCAGCTCAATTAAACTTTTTTAAAAGGAAAGGCAATCAAAAGACACATGGAAACAATTAGAGCAATGAACTGATCATGAACCACGTGAAGCTTGGTTTCTACAACCCTGAGATCAGAAGAAGGCTGCTGAGCCTCAAACCATGAGGCCAGATTTATTGGTTAGATAGAGATTGATGGGGTGCCCAAGACTGTGACCTTTAGACATAAAATCCCATGAGGAGCCTTCTAAGGTACAGTAACACGAGGAGGTGTGCATACCTTAGAATCTTTAACCGCTAGAGACTGAAAGGACAGGGCTTACCCAAGGGGGTCATTCAGGAGGGCTAGGAAAGGAGGAGCAAGAGAAATAGGAAATGTGGAGAGTAAGCAGTTTAAGTGATTGTATATTGTGGGCACTGTGATTGATGAGATGAAACAGAAAGTGTTATGAATTATTTAATGGAAAAAAGTAAAAGTCATCATACTTTGATGAGAATAGTAAACTAATAAATATACTATTGCATGTGAAGAAACATAAAGTTTCCAGTTTCTATTGAAGACATCTTTTCATTGTGGATCATTTTTAAAGTAGGAAATGTATCAAGCAATTATTTATTTTGTATCTTTTCAAAACTTTCGTGTAACTATGCATGTTTGATGTTGGTATGACCATTGCCTGTAGTCAGTGCTGATTCATACCGACTTTGCAGGAGGGAATCAACTGCTCCTTTGGGTTTCTAAGACTTGACACAGTTGAGGGAGTAGACAGCCTTGTCCTTCTCCCACCGCTGGGGGGATGAACCTCCATCCTTGAAGATAGCAGCCCATTGCTTAACCCAGTGAGCCACCAGAGCCCCTTACTCTTTGTGTAGTGAAGCAGAATTAAATGTACTAAAAATATCCATTGTTTTATGGTATCTCTTGCTAGCATCTACTGTGATCTTTCAGGTATTTATGTTTTATAACATATTGATTGGTTCAGAAATACTTATTATAAAGATGTCATCTGCCAGCACTTCTCATAGTCTACTTCACAGAAATTATGACCTAAATATTTCTGAAAATATGACAAGTCATGTTTGTGAGTGATACCCATCTGCCATAGACTTTTCTTGGAGTGATCTAATCTTATTGAAGAAAGCAAATAAGGAGGTCTAATTAAATATCTTCCTTTGTTTTCGGTGGGTGGAGGTACAGGGGCCAGAGTAAAACTTTAATTTATGTTTTCCTCTTTGAATATTTTATTGTACATTCCATGTTGAACTTGATTCGAAGGCTAAGGGTCAGGTTGGGTTTGGCTTGGTTTTGTGCGGTTTGAGGTGAGCATTTACATAGCAAATTAGTTTTCCCATGAGTGGCTCATACAGCGAACGTTCCGTGGCACCGGCAGCCCTCTCCTCATTTTCTCCCTGGGTGCTCAGATTCCATTCACCCACTTTCCCTGTCGCTCCCTGCCTCCTCCTCTTTGCTTCTTAGTCTTGTGGAGTTGATTGTTGTAAGGAACACATATGTAACAGCTGTCTAGTGACGCTGTGCGCTGCCGGATGAAACACTGCGCTGTTCTGCTCCAGTCTCACACATGTTCTTATGTTGGGGCCCGCTGTTGCAGCCTCTCTGCCAATCCAGCTTACCTTATGAAAGGCCTTCTTCGTTGTTGCTGCCCATACTTCACCAAGCACGATGCCCTTTTCCAGAAGTGGTCTCTCCTGACTACGCCATTGGGATAGAGAAACATCAGATGCAGTGGGACACAGAAATCATTGCAAGGATGGTTCATTTTATTGCTTGTCTAATTAAGTACATGAGACAAAGTCTCACCATCCTTGCCTCTAAGGAGCTTTCTTGGCTATACCTCTTGCAGGACAGATTTGTTTGTGTTTTTGACAGTCGATAGAACTTTCAATATTCTTTGCCGGCACCATGTTTCAAATGCATCGATAGCCTTTCCCATGTAAATGAGGTGACGGAAAATACCATGGCTTGGGTCAGGTGCATTCAAGTCCTCAAAGTGACATCCTTGTTCTTGAACACTTACAAAATATTTTTTGCAGCAGATTTACCCAATGTAGTGCATCTTTGACCTCTTGACTGCTGCTTCCATGAGCATTGATTGTGCATCCAAGTAAGACAAAATCTTTGACAACTTCAACCTTTTCTCTGCTTATCATGATGTTACCTGTTGGTCCAGTTGTCAACATCTTTGCTTGAGCTCTAATCCATACCAAAGGCTGCAATCCTGGACCTTCATCCACAAGTTCTGCAAGTCCTTCTCATGTTCAGAAAGCCGCATTGTGTCATCTGTGTATTTAAGAGTGTTCACAAGCCTTCCTCCACAAGTAATATTGTTTATTTTATAGGTCAATTTATTATTTTGCTGAGTGTTCTTTGCTCTTTAACACTTTAAAGATGTGTTTAAAAGACAAAGAATAAATTGAATTAGGCTTCCTTATTTTCTTTCTTCTATATTAATAGATCATTCCAAGAGAAATCTAAAGTAGATAGATATCAACAAGACATGCAAGTGGGTACATCTTGAGGAGGAAAATGCTGGCATATGATATTTTGATAAATCTAGTATATTATAAATATTTTATAAAGCATAAGTATATGAACGTGATAAATGCTACCAAGAGATAAAAATGGCTGGATATTTTCTAGTATATTTAATTCAATTTTCCTATACAAGAATGAATGTCTATATGCATAGTTATTTGAAATAAATTAGAGATGATCTGTTTAGAGTATTGAAAAGTAAAGATGTCACTTTGAGAAATAAGGTACACCAGACCCAATCCAAAGTAATTAGATGCATGCTAAAGGTGGACAATGAATACAGACCAAAAAAGAGTTGATGTCTTTGTATCATAGCATTGATGAAGAATATTAAATATCCCATCAGCTGTCATAAAAGAGAAAATTAGGTCTTGGGGAAGTTCTCAGAGGCTGGCGTGACTTTGTGTTCCAAGTTTGGATATGTTGTCCAGAGGGAGCAGTTTCTGAGAGGAGCATCGTGCTTGGTGAGATAGGGTCATCAAAGATGAGGAAGCCCCCAGCCAGACAGACTGACACTGTGGCTACAACAAGGGACATAGGAACTATGGTGAGGATGGTGCAAAACCAGGCCACTTCTAAGTTTGCTTTGCGTTTTAGGTAACTTGATAGTACCTAACAACAACAGCAGTAGTTACATTGATGCTACCCAGTTCTCTTCAATTAATTTGATCCTAAAATCCCATTTTTTGTGTCTCACAAATTAACATGCACCCAAACATCCACACATTCATTCAAACATGACTCGTGAGTACAGTGCCAGCAGTATTTTAGGAATTGGAGATAATGTGAATTTTTAAAAGGTAGGAGTCACCTCCTGAAGCTTATAGTTCATGAGAAGGACTGACATTATCATTAGTTTTCCTTTATTTATTTATTTTTCATTATCATTAGTTTTCAATGCAAGTTTATCATTACATGTTAACTCATAAGCCTTAACAAAGAAATACAGAAGAGTAGATGGGGATGGGGGGGGGGGCACAGGGAGTGTTGGAGGACATAGTGGAAGAGGCGTTCAGCTGGAGGAGAGAGAGTGAGGAATAATTTATCCTAAGGAGAGTCTGGACAAGCACTTAGGCAGGGATCATATAAAATCTTTGGTCGTGTCATGTCAAGAGAGTATAGAACTTAGTGTAGGGGACTTGAAATTGAACATTAGAGAAGTGAAACTTTTTTCAATGGGCATTCAAAGGATGGGCTTGCAAAGGAGGTGAAGGACTGGCCAGAAAACGTGGAGAAAACCCAGCAGAGTACGTTGCCACTGAGTCAAAGGCGAAGAGTGTTTTTAGAATCAAAGAAGCTATCTGTGTCAAATATGATTGAGAACAGAAATATGATACAAAGTTAAATTTCTCCATTGGATTTTGTGAGTTAGGAGCTTAATAGGGCATTGCCAAAGATGGAAGTGGAAGGTATTGGAGAGGGCAGATCATCAACTGGCAGGCAGAATGGTTTATTGACTATTCTGGGAGAAGTTTGGCTAAGAAGAACGAGACAGCAACAAGATGGGAGCTGGCAGGGAATGTGGATCCAGAGAGATATTCCTTCTTTATTTATATCTACTTTTGTTAGGTGCCAAGCAGTTTGTTCCTAGTGACTCCAGGTATGCAACACTGCCTGATCCTGTGTCGTCCTCGCAGTTGTTACTGGGGTTGAGCTCATGGTGCGGTCACTGTGTCAGTCCACCCCGCCGACTCTCTTCCTCCTTTCCATGGCCCTCTGCGTTACCCATGGTGATATTCTTCCCCAGGGACCCATCCTTCTTGATAATATGTCCAAAGTATATGAGAGCTCAGCCCTGCCATCCTTACTTCCAAGGAACATTTTCCAAGACAGATTCACTTATTCTTTTGTAAAGCCACGGCATATTCCATATTCTTTACCAACACCATACTTCAAAGGCATCAAGTTTTATTTGGTCTTCCTTATTTAGGCCCAGCATACGTGGCAATTGAAAATACCATGGTGTGGGTCAGGTGCACCTTATTATTCAACATGACATCTTTGCTCTTTGAACACTTTGGCAAGGTTCTTGGGAGTAGATTTGGCTCATGCAATTTGCCTTTGGTTCCTTGACTCTGCTTCTATGGGTGTTGATTGCGGAATCCCAATAAAGTGAAATACTTAACTTCAAGCTTACTACCATTTATCATAACTATATTTATATCTAACAAGCAAGAGTTGAGTTTTAAAAAATGATTATTGAGAGTATTCAGCTGAGATGATAGCAACTAGGTAAATTTCCTGAAAACAGCGAAGGAAGATGTTCTAGTGCCCAGATGAAGGGATTGGCCCAGGTTAGCAAGAGGGGGACAATAGTCCTTCCGTTCCAACAGGCTGTCTTGGGAGAGAATGCATACAGATGTAAGTGGGTGGGTCTATTTGGACGTGAGAGGTGGAGACTTTCTGGAAGAGTCTTCAGAGAGTCTGGCTATTAGCTAAGAGTAAAGAGTAACATGTCGGTAGTAGATGACGATTTTCATGGGTGTTTTAAAGAGATGTGGGAAACGTTTGTATAACGGGGAGATTATCTCCAGGATGACTCAGCTGATAGTTCATTCAGAGTGGAGTATTGACATGTGGATGCGAAGAAAGGACAGTAAAGCAGCACATTTATTGAGAGTGTTGTCAAAACCAGATTTAGGCAAGCACTATCGTATACATTTAAATTTCTATGTGAAATAGCACGAGTCTTGTTTATGTTTTATGATGTATCAATTCTAAATTATGAATTCTGACTATGAATTTGAAATATTTTAATATCCCATTCAAAATTATATATGAACTCATATTGCACGCCCAATTTTTTTTGGTGTGTGTATGAGTCAGATGTTTACATTAGACTTACACAAAATAAAATTTTGATATTAATCTTTTTTTTATACTTAGGTTTTCCAGATAAATGCCATGTTTTAAGTTACTTTTAAGAATCTAATAGAGATGTTAAAAATCTACTGTAAAAGCTAACATGAGGCACAGTGACATTAGTAAGTTGTAATTATTACAGTTTTAAGTTAAAAAGGAAAACCAGACCAAAAGTAATTAAACATTTAGCAGGTAATGTAGACAATGGTATGTCGGAAATCTGCACTTTGTGTGTTGGCAGTGGGAGGCATAGTGAAACCTACATTTCTACCTTTGATGGTAGGGACTTACCAGTTTCCCTTGCTAATTTTAAAAGATAATATTTGAGTTACTCTTCTCTGGTAGATTTCCACTTCCGAAGGTCTACTGTACTAGAAAATACAACTCTTAGGGGAAAGTTTTAAGCCAAGGGCGGACATTCTTCAGAATAAACATTGTATGAACAGGATTCAGCTGGTGGGGGATAAGTGTAGGTGCAAGGGTTTTAGTACAGAAGCTGTGTTGGCAATAACATACTGGATTTTGGATAGTGATTGGAATCAGGGATCCAACAGAAGATATTCAAGTATAAACAGGTGTTTCCTAAGGCCCCATAAGATAAGGAAGATTGGAGAAGTTTTCATATTTAGGGCTTAACTTTAAAACTAAACGCTGTGCTGACTTTTGCTTTATTTTTGCTTGATTATTTGTTTCTAAAATAAGAAAATTAGCCTGACAAAATACTTCTTCATAGAGAAACAACATTCAAGTGACAGTCAAAATAATTTCATAGAGAGAAACCATATTCAAGAGAATATTTAGGTGTAGCAGATAATAGCAGATGCTACCTGTCTCTCATAAAACATGTCAATTCCAAAGTTTTCTCTTGCTTTATTTTGATGTTTCAAATTAGTGGGGAGGGCTTATGGTATCACATTAAATAATACTATTGTTTGGCCTTTCTTTCCCCAACATATTGACTGAATAAGTAACAAGAGTTTGAGGCTCTATAATGAAAAGACTTAATATAATTCTTTTAATATGTTAGAGAAAGCAGATGCAAAAGACCTTGGGAAGAAGAGGAGTAAAGATGGAGAAAAAGAAAAAGAAAAGGAAAAATTCAAATTCTCATTTCATGGTTCAAGACCCTCATCAGATGTGCAATACTCCCTGCAGTCCCTGTCAGACTGTAAGCGTTTAGTCTCTTAGAAGAATAATGACTTTAGTTGTTTCATAGTTTATTTTAACAATTAGGAGCATGGAAATATATTTCCTTACGTGAACAATCCAAGTAAGTTTGTTCAAGGTTGCCCATACTACCCAGGCACAGATGTGGGTTTAAGTACGCACAAGATAGTCTATATGAGACAGATGACGTGTTCAGATAGAGCCACTTCTAGGTATTTTTCTGAAAAGCACTAATGTTACATATATGAGCCAGGTGCCAAGCAAACAGAAAGCATCCATATACCCTCGCTTACAGTGGGACTCCTGTCAGTTGGGTTGTGGTCGTGTGCTATCCAGTCAACTCTGTCTCAGATACCCTTTAGGATGGGCTGACACAGACACCCTGCAGAATGGCTCCTTAGGGTTCTCCAGATTATGCATCATGATGGCGCCAAGGCAGTCTCGTCTTTCTCCCACAGAACGGTGGGTGGTTTAGAATAACTGCCTTTGCTGTGGCCACTCCGTGTGTGTCCCACTGTATCAACCATCGAGACCCTACAGGACAGAATAAGCCTGCCTCCTAGGTCTTGCTAGGCTGAAATCTTGACTGGGATAGATCATCAACTCTTTTCTCCATGAAGGAATTGGTGGGTTCTAAATGGCTGACCTTTTGGTTAGCTGCCAAATGGCCAGCAGGGCTCCATCCAGCTCTTTTACTATGTTTTAAAAAGAATAACTATCATTTTCAGAAAGAGAAGTCTGTTTATACCATGTGAGCTGTCTTTTTAAAAATCATGGAAAAATGTGTATTTTGAGTAAACTATGAATATTTATTTTTTTGCACTAAAATAAAGTTGTTCTAGTTTGTTAAAAGGTTGTCAATGTCAGTGGGGTGGGGAGAAACTGGAAATAGTTGATGGCACGGGGGGAACAGGGCACTAACCCACCCAGGGGGAGAGTATTGGTTGTGTCCCCACAGAACTGGAGCGAGCGTACAGACCCCATCAGGACATGCCAAACCAGAAGAGCAACGTAACACGGAGGAATCCACAGAGATTGGACCATACGCCGGCCCTAACCAGAATTAGCCCGACCCCCACCATGGGAGCACCACAGAAAATGGAAATAGATCATCTGGTGTGGGAAAGGAACTGACCTACCACACCACACCCAGAAGGAAGCTGAAGCAAAGGAAGGAGGAGGAAAGGAGCGGAGCACACCTGGGCCCATCAAGCTCAGAGGACGATAGCCCAGCTCAGAAGGCCGAATGTACAGAGAGGATCATATAGCTTCCCCCACAGCAGAGATGCGACATCCTGCACTGACCCATGGCCCTACACAGGACAGCACCAGAGACACAGTCTGGGATGTGCAACTGAGCTGACCCCACCACACTGAGGCAAAACACTGGGGGTGTGCAGTGAGCGGCGGGGGAAGCAGAGCAAGGAGGTCCTGAGGGAGTACAAAGGACGGACTTTGGGGCCAGGACGTGGCACCCCATCAGACTCGTCCGGAAAACACTCCTAAAGGTCAACAAACAGACCTTGAACTACTAACAGGCTTTTTTCCCCTTTTTTTCTGCCTATTTGTTTTGTTTTTTTCTTTTTTCCTCTTCTTTTAAATGTTGTATGTCAGTGGCTTTTTTGTTTGTTAGCTTATTGGTGCTGCAGCCGTCGTCGCCAGGTTCTTATGTGCCACTTTGGTGCTGTCAAAGCCATCCCCAATTTTATGCACATATTAATGTATCTGCAGGTCCACCTAGATAAGAGAGGCTGGACAAACAATGTGAGAAGAAAATAAAGGGATCAATGTTCCCGGAGGGACATGAGAGTGTGGGAGGTAGGGGAAGGGAGGAGGTGTTGCCCAACCCAGGGACAAGGGAACAATGAGTGGTTCAAAACCAATGGCAGGGAGGGGATGGGAGGACTGGTAGGGAGTGACCAAGGGCAAGGCAACTGAGAGGAATTACTGAAACCAGAATGAAGTCTGAACATGGTAGTGGGACAGGAGGAAAGCGTAAGGAAATAGAGGAAAGGAGTAGGAGGCAAAGGGCATACATAGAAGCCTAAATACAGACATGTACACATGTAAATATATTTAAGATTATGGGGGAAATGGACCTATGTGCATATATTTATGGGTTTAGTAGTAGGGTGGCAGGTGGACATTGGGCCTCCTTGTGCACATTCCCTCAATACAAGAGCACCTTGCTCAGCTAAAAGGTCATTTCATGATACCCACTTTCCCGACATGATTGCTGAAGACAGATGTGTGCGTAAGCAAATGTGAAGAAAGCTGATGGTGCCCGGCTATTAAAAGATATAGCATCTGGGGTCTTAAAGCCTTGAAGGCAAATAAGCGGCCATCTAGCTCAGAAGCAACAAAGCCAACAGAGAAGAAGCACACAAGCCTGTGGGAACACGAAGTGTTGAAGGGATCAGGCAGCAGACACCAAAGAACAAAAACCATCATTGTGTGACCACCTTCCCCACATAAA